GCTTCAAGACACCCTATTGTCCTAGTGAAGGACAGGAAGGTTCACTTCAGTGGTGCTGATCTCTCTAACAGTCACAACCACTTTCTTAACATCAGTCTAAATGCTCATGAAATTCCCTCAGCCAAACGAATTAGTTCTGGGAGAGGGCCAATCAGGAAAGGCTTTCTTGAAGAAGTGGTATTCAAACCAATCCATGGAGGCTAAGAGACATTTAAGGAGACCTAGTGTGAGTGGTGGGAAGGTTCCACACAGGAGGAGCAGCATGAGCAAAGGCTTATGGGAGAACTTGGAACTGGTCTTCTTCCCAGACACTCACGCAGAAGTCTTCAGCAGTGGTGAGTAAGACCACCCTGCCTCTGAATCTCATTCCTTGCTTTCCCTGTTAGTCAACTTTCTACTGTTCTGATAAGATACTTGAGATAATCAACTGACAAGGAAAAACACATGGGTTTTGATTCATGGTTATAGCTTCAGAAATTTTGATCTGTGGTCACTTGGACCCATCTATTCCTTTGGGCCTGTGATGAGATAGCATATCGGTAAGCAATCAGGCACTCCCCTGGCCTGCCCTCAGGGACTGAGTGACAGCAGGACGTGTCATCATCAGCTGCTGAAATGAAACATTTTCCTACTGTTGCCATGAGTCGAACATTCTCCCCATGAGCTTGAAGTACATCCCTATATAAAAAGCCAGTGCCTTCTCTCCCCATTCCTTTTTTCCCTTCTACCCTTGCTCAGAGGCAGCCCATGCATCCCCCTTCCCCCAACAAACCCCCGGAGTGAGATCTGCTGCATGGTGTGGCTTTGTTGCGCCCTTTGGTACCTTCCACTGCTTAAATCTTTACAATATCTTGGCAGTAGAGGAAGTTGTTTCCCTTCTAGAGGTTGGGAAGCCGGTAGGCAGAAAAGGGCTGGAAACTACTATCCTCTTCAAAGGCCTACACTCCTAATAATGTAACTTCCTCTTACTACACCCTACCTAAAAGCTCTACTACCTTCCAATCGGGCCATAGACTGAAGACAATTCTTTCCACATACAAGCCTTAGACTCTAAAGCTTAGAGGGACATTTAAGACTGAAGCTGTAGTACCTGGTGATATGAATTCACAACACGCCCCGACGGTTGGGCATGGTCGCGCATGCCCTGCGGGACCTAGTCACTTCTGCCTAGTCATTTCCGGGTCAAACGGCTTGTGTGACCCAGGACCGTGGCTTCACACAGTTGTGTAAAGCGCCCAACACAACCATATGATCTATGTACATGCGTAGAATAGCCACATGGGCCTGTGTGCGCAGGCGCAGCCCAGCCTTTACAAGCCGGCGCCATGATTCCCAGGCCTCTTCACACACATGTCTTTCTGCAGGCCTGTGTACATCTGTCCCTCTTCCTTTTCTTAATAAAACTCTTGTTAGTGGATTCTGTCGTGTTTTGTGACTTTTCCTTGTAGGGTAAGAGCACGTAAAAACCAACACCTGCTTTACCTATAGTTCCTTCAAAAAATAGTCCTGGTCTCTACCCACACCTATGCCTTCTCTACCAATGGGGGACTAGAAGTTAGACAGAGTCCCTGATAAGCAGACAGGTAGGGAGAGGGGCCGTAACTAAGAAATCAAGATGGTGAACTTCCAAGATGACTGCCTTCTTCTTTACTCTCCTGACCTGAGACAAAAGCCTGGCAGCTTGAAACATGTTACCATTTAGGGATCATGATTGTGTTTGTTTCCTCTGCCAGTTAAAAGAATTAAAAGGCAGGAAAATCCTGAAACTTGACAAGCAGCAGTGGAGAAATCTCTAACACGACAGGAACAGACAGAATCAGCAGTTGAAGAAAGGTGTTTACTAGGGTGAGGAAACACACACATGCAGCAGACATGCTGTGGGATGTTCTGTATGTTAAATGTGCTGCTCTGATTGGTTAATAAATAAAACACTGATTGGCTAGTAGTCAGGCCGGAAGTATAGGCGGGACAAGGAGAGGAGAATTCTGGGAAGTGGAAGGCTGAGGCAGAGAGCCACTGTCAGCCATTGCCATGACAAATGAGATGTAAGGTACTGGTAAGCCATGAGCCACATGGCAACTTATAGACTAATAGATGTGGTGGTATTTTACTTCTACTGAAATGTGATTTTAATTGTATGTTAATAAATAAAGTTGCCTGGGGGTCAGAGCTATTAGAGCCATAGCAAGTGTGTGGCAGCGGTGGTGCACACCTTTAAGGACCTGGAGGGCGGTACATACAGGCAGTGACGAGGCAGTCACGTGTTTGGGTTTACAACCAATGAGAAGGCAGAACAGCTAGACTATATAAAGGCATACACACAGGAAGTAGGCCCCTTTCGGAGAGCTCTCTTGACTGAAGAGGATCCCTGAATCAGGAAGGGTGAGGCTCTTAGCTCTGACCTCTTGGCTTTCTTCTCTGAATCGGCTCTGTGTTTCTTATTTAATAAGACGGTTGGTTACATCTACAAATAGATATGGGTTAATTTAAGATATAAGAACTAGATAACAAGAAGCCTGCTGTGGCCATACAGTTTGTAAGCAATATAGGTCTCTGTGTGTTTAGTTGGTTGGGTCTAAGCGTCTGCAGGACTGGCAAGTGAGAGAGATTTGTCCTGACCATAGGCCAGGCAGGACTGGAGAAAACTCCAGCAACACAGACACATAGAGAAAAAGACCCAGCAGAGCAAAGCAGAGGGGGGACTTGAGATGCCCCAAAATCCGGTCTCATTCCAAGGGCTGGGGTATTTGAAGTCTCTGAAGGGTCTTCCTCCCCTAACTTCAGATTGGTCCGTTTGATGAAAGACTGGATGGCTGACTGGCCCAGAACTGCTGTGTAAACTTGTCCTGATCTGGTCTTGAACTTGTTGAACCAGTCCATCATTAGGGACCTTACTGACAGGAGAAAAAGTCCGCAAGGCCTTTGGTATAAATTGCCATGCTTTCTTCTCAGGTCAGGAGAATGAGGAAGAAGGCAGCCATCTTGGAAGTTCACCATTTTGATTACCTTGTCATGGCCCCTCTAGCCGTCTGCCTCTCTGAGACTCTCTTAGTTCTTCATCAGCTTTGCCTACTCCATTTATATCTCTGAAAAAACAACAGGCAACATGGCATTTTTTCAACCACATTTTGAACTTCTCTGTCTTTAGAATTAAGAGTCAGTAGTGCACACATCAAGAACAACAGTGTATAAATAAAAGCAGGGCAAACACTAAAAAGGCCTCCCATTCCCAGGCTCTCCTAGCTTTGGAGTATCTCCATCCACCCAGTGTCCCCCACCAAACGCTGCCCTCTATCTGCTGAATTACTCCTTTGTACTCCATATTGTTTACACACAGGAGGGGGGTCTCCCTTTTTCAAATTTTGCTTATCTACTGTGCTTCCTCAGGATGCTTTGGGTTTTTCCAAGAGGACCATATGAATAATCAAAGCTTACCTTGGGAATAAGAAAGACTCTTTCATCTCCCAGGCCTTTGCCTGGCTCCTGTAGGATTCTGTGCTTCTCTTCTTCCATATTAGCATAATTCTAAGACTGTATCAAATCTTCAATCAAATTCCCTTTGTAATGTTAGTAGATTGTAACCTTAGGAAAGCAGACCACATCGCAGGTTGATGCCACCCCGCCGTTAAGGTTCAGTTTATACTGTTTTGTGGAAACCTCCCTTCTTATCACAGGGGGTGGCCTTCATCCATCATTTCAGCTGAAGGTTATTTTTGTAGAATTTCTTTCCGAGATGGTAGATTACTGTACAATCTAGGGCAGAAGGTAAGACAGAAAACTTCACTCTTGATAAAAACAAAAGGATATGGCAGGCCTGGTCCCTCTAGAGCACAACAAGAGGCCAAAATCTAATCACAGAATTCTTTGATTTACCCAGTGAACGCATAATTCTTTATTAAGTGATTTCCCGGGCTTGAGACTTCTGAGCTATGAGAAATGATAGGTCACCATTCCAAAACAAGAGATTCCAGCCTGTGCCAGAAAGGATTATATAGCCATGGGGCCAGAAGGTCAGAACCAGAAGCTTAACTTTTATGTTCCATAAAATGAGAAGTTCCTGCTAGGACTCTGAGCTCAGCTCTCACAGAGATTTAGAGATTTCTCCCACACCATGATTGCCTTGGTTTCTTCTCACAGCGACTCTGTGTGGTAGGCAGGTCAACTATTACTCTCCTCACCAGGCCAAGGAAGAACGAGGAGCCATTGAGGTTAAGAGACTTGTGTAAAATAAACAAAGCTGAGGCGGGTCTTGATTCATGGAGAGAGCCAAGATTTCTGAATACAACCAAATGTTTCTGACTTCCTAAGGACAATTAGGCTTTCAGTAATTAGTTCTCTAATTCCCAATACATTTCTTTACCAGTCAAGTACTAAGCTGCTCTTCAGAATGTGTAGTTGTTGGACCATTGAGTTATGGTGGTCAAGTAGGAATTTCTTCGCTTACTCATTTAGCAACTATTGATTAATTTGTGTGTGGTGTGTGAAGCTTTTCTAATGAGAAGTTGAAGGGGAGGGGCAACCATGTCACATACAATATAAAATGTGGTCATGGGTCAAGTTAGACATTTGAGAACAGAGTTATGATTTGCTTTGCTGGCCTGGCCTTGTGAATAGGTAGTTTATGAGTTGTATAGAGAACCAAGTATCTCAGGCTTGATTTATCCATTTGGTTTAAAGAGTTCCGATGAAAATGTTTTATTTTTTAGAAAATAAAATTGAAAATGAAGTGAGAGATATAGGAAGAGAATAGCAGGAATTCAACGTCAAGGCAGTTCTCAATTCTAGCCATGTATAATCATTTAACAGCTTGCCAAGGACTCAGCAGCTGGTCACTGGTACCAGAATAAATCTTTTTATAGGCAAGCAACCTGTCTCTTTTTCATTTAAATTCAGCCTAAAGCTAATGTAAGACTTTGACCTGTTTAATTTTGCTTAAATGTCCTTAACTTGATTCAATTAAAAAATTATGCTCACTCTTTTTTCTCCTTTTTGTGATAAAGTCTGCCCGTTATTCCCTAGTGGAGAACTCCAGCCTGTTGGGGAATACAGGATTGAAGAAGAAGAAGAAGAAGAAGAAGAAGAAGAAGAAGAAGAAGAAGAAGAAGAAGAAGAAGAAGAAGAAGAAGAAGAAGAAAGACACTTCGCAGCCTTCTTTTAGCTGTATGGGGCCATTTGGTGAAATTCTGGTCAATGTGTTAGAATTTGATTTGTACAACAATTACATCATAGTAATCACACTAGTTCCCACCTTATCCATAGCACCACTTTCTGTGGTTTCAGTTACTCTCTGAATATTACAAATGGAAAATTCCAGAAGTAAAGAATACGTAAGGCATAAGTGTGTACAGTTCTGAGTGGTGTGATGAACTCCACACTCCGCTGCTGTATTCTGTCCTGGGCGTGTTGTATACCCACACTGCACACCATGCTCACCTGTCAGTCACTGGGCACCTGCCCCAGTTACCAGACTCACTGTTGTCAGTTTGTGCTGTGTTCAACTCTTTTATTTAATTATGTTTTATGGCTTTATTAGCCATTGTTCTGTTTTATTATGTTGTTAATTTCCTAATTAATTCACTACATTTTTGTTGTAGGTAAATGTAGATAGGAACACACACACACACACACACACCCGCTACAGTGTATAGGGAACTCAGTACTACCCCCCTGGGGGCCTTGAAACACATCCCTTGCAAAGGAGGATGCAGAGTGGTGGCCAACAGAGAGAAGGCCATGTGTCTCCTTTCTTCTCTCCTGCCTGTTAAAGCAGGCCGACGGAAGAGCCACCCTGGCCAATAACATTCAGGGATATTTGAAGACAGCTATCCAAAAGGTAGCAGGACCCTGAGCTCCTGATTGTTGTTGTTTCCTTCCTTCCTGATCCAGACTGTTTCTGTCTCCCCTGGCCACTTACACATGCAGAAGTTTGCTAGAAGGACGCAAAGGTAGGTGGGCATGTGGCTGAGACTTCTTACAGTCCTGTAGTACGCAGCTCTATTATCAGGAAAGACATCATGCAGAATCTGTGGGAATTCATTTTGCAGGACTCTTTGGCCTCTCTGCTTCTGTGCAGGGTTCACTCTACCCCATCAATGGAAATGCACCGTGGAGTGTGATGCTTGCAAGCAGGGGATCCCCTTTGGGAGCTGGTCATGCTAGACACCCTCTGTCTATCATCTCCCAAAATTCCATTCTCCTACAAGAAAAGCAGGTAGATAGATGATCCAGCCACAGTCTAGTCTTAAGTGTCTAAGACTCTTGAGTCAATTAAAACATAACTCTGCATTTTCTTCTTGCCTTTGGGGGCAGAAAATGCTAGTTGTTCCCCAAAATTATTATTTAATTTTTTTACTATTTATTTTTATGTGTGTAAGTATTTTGCCTGCTTGGTACCTTTGGAGGCCAGGAGAGGGTTTTGCATCTCCTGAAACTGGAGTTATAGATAGCTGTGAGCTGCCATGAAGGGGCTGGGAATTGAACTTCGGTCCTCCAGAAGAGCAGCCAGTGCTCTTCTTAACTGCAGGGACATCTCTCTAGAGAGTCCCCAACAGTATTTAATTATTGACTGGGTACATTTCAAGAGCCAAGGTCCCAGACGCCAGCTAAGAGCCAACCTGATAGTGAGTTTTACATAGCAGATCCACTATGTTAATTCTTCTGCATAGGACTGCTCTAGATTTTATCTGAAAGAAAACCGTGTCCAGCTTGTGTAAGGTGATATGTCTCTGGGTTTCCTTCATTTCTCTTAACCAAAGCTAATTTCAAGAAGTATCCGTCCTTCTTATGTTTGACACATCAGCAGAATTCAATCTTAGTGTCCATCTTTACAATGGGGTTAGAGGCTTTCAGTAGATTGACACAGGCTCATCTGGCAACACGTTTCCTTATTTTCAAATCCTACATGGACTGCCAGTAGTGTCCACTTACAAAAGGGCCTGCGTTCCCAAGGCTCACTGCTCCACTGACCTATTCATCATATTGGGAGCACAGAGGTCCTTGGTCCCACAGGTCACCAGGGAAACCAGGAATGTTAAGCAGGCAGGGTTGTCTTTTCAAAGGAAAAGATATATAACCTTCCTTTAGGAAGGAAGCAAACAACAATGATCAGAAGGCTAGGAATTGGAGGTGATTAATAGCTCTGTGACCTGAATTATCTGAAGGGCCAGGCCACATCAAGCTCCCACAACCAGGGCCAGAGGTGGCTAATATTCTAGGTGATTTTTTTTTAACTATCTAAAGGGCCAGGCAGTATCAAGCTCCCACAACCAGGACTGGAGAGACTTAATAGTCTAGATGACCCTTACATTATCTGTATAGCCAGGGGCTCCCCCAACCTCCCACAACTAGGACCTGAGGTGGCTAATAACCCAAAGGACCTCTATGCTATCTGTAGGACTGAGACAACACCAGACCCTTCCCAAGGCCCTTAAGACAGTACAAGTGGCCTCTCTCTAGAACCCACCCTCTTAGAAGAAATTACATGTACTTTGAATTGAGTTTCTGAATCATGCCTTCCTGGGCACTGACAATTGTATTATACCAGGAAACTTTTTTGGTTTGCTGTTTTGTTTTTTTCCCCCCAAATTGTACTTTGTTTAAATATACTTAGAATAAACTGCCTGGCATCAAACTCCAAAAGTTTGATCTCGTCTAGCTGACTAAGTCAGACTGAACTGAGTTTTTCTTTTTGCCTCTTCATAGATGGTTCCCTGCTGGCTGTTACTCTTGGAGAGACACACCCCCCCCCCGCCACACACACACACCATCAGTGAATACAGGAGAGATGAGCTGATGGAAGATGGCTGGGCTGATGTGGAGCTGGAGGAACTGGGCCTCAGCTTGTTTCTTCCTGCTTTGAGAACCTGTCTCTAGAACAGGCAGAGACCAGGTGCTGTGAGTGGTGTGGGAATGATACTTTCACAGCTTCTTGCAGATCCAATAAACCACAAGATCCTATCCTTTTGCCTTTGACTCTACTTTGTCGTCTTCCCTACATCAACATTTAAGCCCAAGAGGACCAAATCACAGATTGTATTTATTTATTTTCATCAAAAATGAATTAACTTATTTAGTTATTATTAAGATAGGGTTTCATCGTATAACCCAGGCTGTCATGGAACTATGGGGCCCAGGCCAGACTTACACCAGCAGTGATATTCCTGCCTCTGCATCCCAAGGTCTAAGGTTACAGGCATGAGCCACCACACTTGACCTGATTATTCATTCTTGAAATGGATGGACCCTAAGCAATTTTCTCATTCTGTAGGGGAAAGATGCAGGACATGATCCAAGTTCTGGCAAGTTACCAAGAATGGGACTTTTCTCCTGGTCCCAGGTTCCCATATTCCCTGAGCAATCACCTCTGCTCAGCTACATGTCAACCCACACTGTGTGCTCTGAGGACATGACCAGTCCTAAAACACAGGCTCCCCAACTGACTCTAAATTAGTCAGTGATTGAATCCTCAAGATGTGTGGTCTCTTTAGAAACAAGAAGAGTGTCTTATAGCCATAACATAAGGCATACCATTCTGTGACATTCTGTTGGCTTCATGAGCATTTTAAATAGTGCCCCTGAAGAGCAAAAATTACCCTAGCACACAGGAAGGAGCTCAGCCTATTAAGACCTCAAGACCTTCCCTCACATCAACAGCAGGTGCTTCCCCTGCGTCTTCTTTTGGAGAGGCCCCTAAATTACTTATTAGTATTCAAGAAACTCACTAATTTGCAGGATAGCAAACAACCTTGCATTTTCCAGGCTTGTGTGGGCACCAGAGAAATGCTATTTAAGGGTGCTAATATCTACTCATCAACCCAGAAGACATAGCCCTTACAAAGAGAAGTAGACATGGAATGTGAAAACTCCTGTCTTAAGAATTAAGTAGTATTTCTGGAGATGACTTGGATCTAATTTAGAAGCCCATGTGCTGACTGGAGTCCAGGGAAGCATAATAATTATGTGCGTCATAATCACCAACTTGCTGAAGGCTACTTTTGTGCCTCCTAATAGTAGGAGGATCACAAACAGAAAAAAATTCAAAGATTATTTTTTTTGTGTGTTTTAAAATCACCAAAGATCATGTCCCTTGATCTAAGAGCCAGAGGATCAGTGACAAGGTGTGGCTGTCATGTTCTGGCTGAGGGGCCTATCACTAGCATTAATGTTCAGTGCCTCTGCAAAAATGGGATAGCATCAACAAATTTGGGGCTTCTGCAAACAAATGCAAAGCAAATTTTGTAAGGATCTGTAAGATGGTGTAGAAGACATGAAGAGGTCCGTCCACTCTTCCACCAACTGCTAAGGGGAATCACATCCCCAAATTCTAAGAAATCAACCACAGAAACTGAGAGGTTCATGTCAAGGTTCTGGTTTAGATTTTGGTTTGCCTTTTCCCAGATAGAAAAGAAATGTGGTACACTTACATGTCACATCTGACTTCACCTCCTCAGCTTTGCTTCCCAGGTGGCCCTGCATGCGCATTTGTTTGTCCCCGTGGGCATCAGATTTCTTTCCCCCTTCCAGGGCATTGACGTACGTATGTGATTATTTATGGTCTTGCTTTCACCAATGGTTTGTTTTCTATTCTGTGCTTACTGAGTACCCAGCCTCAACCACAGTGGCTCTGCTCCTGGGCAGACCCGATCATGTGTCTCTGCTTCTTCTCCTGTCTCCAAGTCTTCTCCAGCCACAGGCTCTCCTGCCCACAATCCCCCAAGGGAGAGACAGAAGTTCCAGTGTCTGGACAGAGAGAAGAGTCTTAAACCAAACAGCGTTTACAAACTTTAGAACCCGACTTCGGCAATTTTAGGGGACACACAGATGTGTCCTTAAGTGACATACTATGACATCAGGAAGGTACCCTTCCCTTTTCAATTCTCTTCTAGTCCTTTTGGTTCTAGAACTTGCCAGAATGTTTCTAGTTAGCACTCTTTAGCTGTTGTCTAAATTACACTCTTAGAACAGATTTCAGGTCCAGACATTTGACAACATGAATCTAGTAATGAAGTTTTGTTGTTACAGGTTTCAATTTTTCAGTTTGGGCCAAATGACACACTGCTTTTTGTTTATAATAACAAACGAGCCTCCACTAAAAAATGTTTCCCTTGAATAATAAAACAAGAATCACTGAAAGCAGAATTCTTGAACTGAAAAAGTGAAGGCTGAAGAAACAATGGTACAGATAATACACAAACACGCTAAAACTTGGGGGCGGGCCTAACATGGCCAACGTTTCTCCATTTGTTCAGGATCACTGAGAGAAGCCGAATATGGCTGGGGAGGTGGACAGGTGCTGCTCTCTAAGTTCAAATGTTGATAGTATGCAGCTATGGCTATCCCTTGATTTATTTAACCAACCTCTTATCATTGAGATAGTTTATCCATTTCTGTCTTCTCCTGATAATGAGCAACACTACGTTGAAAATGCTAATGCACAACCCCACAGTCAAGCACATACATGAACTATTCAGTGGATGATGCTGTGACTGGAAACTCGGTCAAAAAGGATGATGCCATGGATCTCTTTCTTACTTCCCTACCTGGCAAGGAGGAACTAAACCAAGTCAGGAATCAAGTGAAGAACGAGGAAAAAAGAACATTCCAAAATGTGGCTTTCAACAGGGACCGTTAATTGTTGTAAATTAGAAAACACCTCATTTTGGGTATGGTGGTAAACACTTTCCCAGTACTCAGAGACTGAAATGAAATAACGTCCTGGGCTACACGGTAAGATCCTGTCAACAAAACAGATATTCCTTCAGGTCACCTAACCCTGCTTCCTTCTCTGGGCCAAGAGCAAGAAGAATTTGAACAGCAGCAAGATGACATGCATTTGTCCTTTCATAATCCAAGAGAGACAGTCATTGCAAAAATCTCACAAGTGCTAAAATTATTATTGGGAGGTATTCAGCTTCTTGCTTTAACCCCAGTAGCTCACAGACTGCAAGTCAGTGGTTTGACGAAGTGACAGTCTCTGGCCCCAACTATCTGCGCGCCAACAGAGGTTAGGTACATGACCCGGAGCTTCTTTGGAGAAGTAACTTGTTTTTGTTTGGTGGGAAGCAAGGACACAGGGGTGAGAAGATATTGCCCTAAATATGATATGATCCATCTGTCCAAACACGGGTTATTCAATTCAGCCTCTTACCATCTCCACATCCAGATGTTTGCCGTCACACAATCCCAGATGACCTTGCTTTCTATCGAGTGCAACTTGTACTAATCATGTTTGTCAAAGACTTGCATTTGTTTTTAATTAGAGGACATCAATTTTGATTCAGCCAGACCCCCTGAGCTTCGGTACTGGACACAGCCTCCATTATTAAGAAAACTTAAATCACAACTGCCCTTTGTGCTGTTATTATGATCACTGAAGTTTTCATTCTATCTCAGTTCAAATAAAGAATATTTGAGACCACACTAATTGTCTGAATCACCAAATTTGGTTACCAGTGTCTGTTGGAATTCAAATAACTCTATTGCATCTATACGTTCTCCAACCACTGAATTCCCATGATGGTAATGGTCTCTTCATATTTATTTATCTTTGTGCTCAGAAGTCTCCAACAATTACATTTCATGGCTAGATCTGCTTTCAAATTCTGACCAGATGTGTGCTCTTGCCTGGGTCACCAATAGTGTCTCTGAATTTAATTTCCTCATTTGAAAATTAGAGGATTATAAGATGTTGTTGTGATGATTAAATATCAGACTATTTAAAATACTTGCCAGGATATTTGCTCTAGCATATATGCAAATATACAGGTTCTTCCTGCTCTCTTAAATAATCTGTGGTAGAGTCTGACTTTGAGAACCTGTGTCTGGTCTACCTCCCGGGAGACTGAGGCAGATTTTCAACAACATTGGTTTCCTGTAGTTTTTTAGGTTATCTTTTTTTTTCCCCCGTGAGACTAAGCAAGCAAAGCATGGGAAACCTAGATAAGCTGAGACTGTTCTACACGAGCCCCCTTCTTATGAAGTACGTGGCTGGCCCATCCTTTGATCCAGTGCTCTGCCAACCCAGAGCATTCTGTATTTCTCAAGTGCATCAGCGGGAGGTATCTGGAGAACAAAGTGGGATTCAGGACTTGAGGAAAGCATATTCACCAGTAAAAGCAAATACCTGACTACCTGATTAATTATTTCTATTTTCACAGACCTTATTCGGAGTTACCTTTCCAAACTGTGGCCCATTCTTGGAGAGAAGACAAAAACTAAGTGTCTTCTACACAGTTGAGGCCAAGTCAAAGAGTGATGGAGAACCCCAAGAAAGATGTCCTGGCAGCCTAGGTGGGTCAGCAGGCAGCCCGTTCTCCTCTATCTGTTCCCTGGTCCCCTTCAGTCCCCATGCCCAGCCGCCTTCTGTTTCTTTTCCTCCTTACCCATCTCTTCTTCCAAACGCTCTGCTGCATCCAGGCTTGCAGCCTCACAGGCGCCATAAACATCTTACACCCATCCTTTGCTTCAGCTTCTGATGTTGAAGTACAGACAGACAGATTTAAGACATCGAGAGGAGGCAATACACATCTGGGCACAGAGCTGAGGGTGCAAAGGTAGGGCCGGTTTTCTAATGCAAGTGCACCTCAGAATTCCTTGTGACCACCCAGAGCTGACTCCACAGCGGAGCCACCTTCCCCGCTTGATTTCCTGGACCTTCTCAAACCTGGCAGAAGCCACACCTGGTCTCTATATAGTTTCCGATAGTTTCTACTCACTCTGGTGTCATAGTCCATGCTTGAGAGCCCCCTCACACAAGTATTCTCATGAACAAAGCGACTTAAAAATGACCCACTTCAGCCTGACTGATCATGTACATGGGCCAGCTAACTGCCTGATATGCTCTGTTATGAACTCAATGTATTTCTGCAGGATTCATAGGTTGAAGCCTTGATTTTAGTATGTGGAGATTATGCCTCTAAGGAAGTAATTAAGATTAAATGAGACTGTAAGGGCACAAC